TTCTCTACCGGCGTAGATAAATTTGTTTCTAGTAAAAAATGTCCGCAGATTCTCATGGTTTTTACTTTTTAACTGGTAAAGTTTATTCTTAATTGAGATGTACCGCTTTAAGGAACTCATTGAAATCTTCTATTAATTTCCAAAGTAACTCTGAAAATCAATGCCGAATTTGTCTTCTAAGCTTTCCAATCAAAGCTTTATTTGTACATCGGCAAGACCTTGCGTCTCCGTATTCATACTGTGTAATATTATTTGATATATGCATATGTTTTCTCGTAGATTTTGATTCCGTATTATTTTGTACATTTTTTCTATCGAAAAGAAAAAGTAAGCCAGTAGATTCGGGCAAAGTTTGGATATTGGAGCCTTGACCACGCATAGAGGATCGGTGGGGACCTGCTACCATCATCGATAATTATCACGTAAAGCCGTTATTTCAGGTGTTTAGGTCTATGCAGAACTCTGGCATAGCAAAATAACTCATTTAGAACATATAGAACACCTCAGTCATGCAAGGACGGGAAAAAACCCGACGAATAAATGCCACATGAATTGAGCGACGGAAGAAAAGTGGTCGCTCGTTGTAGAAACTGTTTTGCGATTCTCTTGCACAACAAAAACCATCCGTTTCTTGATCGCATTGTGTTATGTACGAGAAGAGAGTTCTGTACGACATGTCGCGCACAAAGATTCTCGGGAAAAGAGGCACCAAAACATCTCACGAAGACAGATGTTGCACTGAAACAAGACTACGGTGTCCGTTTGGTAGTCGATAGATGAAATCATCTTTAATTAACCTCTTAACTCGATCGAAATCACTATGATAGGTCTAACATAGGCATCGAAAAGGAACTAATTTCGTTCCAATAGCAATATTTGAAAAGTCTCACCAGCAGCGTCTCAAACATTAGAAGAACTGGAATGAGAAACGTTTCCTCATTCAGCACGCTCACACTACCCTTTCGCCAATCAGTTACCACTTTCGGCTGTTCGTTGAAAACAATAGAGAAATTCCCACGGCTGACTTTCTATTAACCTCGGCATTCATCGAACAATTCTTTGTATTATTGTTTAGCAAACACTAGCTGCTATTTTATCTCTTTAGTTACCACATGCTGACTCTTCGGCGGATTTCGCCCTCCTCGGAGCCTGGGTAAATCAAACTGATCGCAGTCTCAAGTTTATCACAATGTAAGTCGTGGTCTGGCATTTTCTCTGTTTGCTTATGAAAGTTTTTAGCTGGCTAGATTGCAATCAATATGACCTTTCCAATCTCTGAGGAGGGCGAAATCGGCCAGTTCATCAGCTTGTGCGTAAATAAAGAACTAAAATAGCACTTCGTGTATGTGAAGCAAGAATACAAAACATTAGAGAAATTCTTCGGCAGACAAGACGACGCTGACTAGTCTTTTAGATGCTTTAACTTGTGGTGCCCAGAAATTTAGGAACTATGCGACACGGTAGATATACATTTTACTACGGTTCTAAGCAGAAGTGGACCTGTGCTATTGAGGAATCAATTGAAATAGCCTTAGATATCCTCTCTCCAAAAATAAGACTGAAGAGGCTTACTCTGAGGAGGTTTCTACTTTGTGTACGGTTCACGTCAAGAAATGAAGTTATTTTTGCGAGACCGGTGAGCTCGTAAATTGTCAGGTAATAGCACATTCGACAGGAAATCGCCCCGTTGAACTGGAAGATGTTTCTGTTGCCAAGAAACTAGTTGAAGTCGTTTGTTTGCTGCTTTTATACACAAATACCAACCTCAAAATCTTGGTTTTTTAATGGCATTGTTTAGTCTCATTTCACGTTGTGTATTTCTTCCCCTCATCTTTTTTTCATAGTCAAATGCGTTGTATAATTAAAGTATTTTCGAGTGCATATTATATAATACTGAACGTCGGCCCATAAAAAAAGTGGTGACACGTGCTGGTTACACATTGGTTGCTTATTGGTTCGACACGGCGCACCGAGCTAACCAAGTCCTCAATCTCTCCGAAGTCGGAAAACCGCTGCCAGACCACAATGAGACAACAGAATCACTGACTTGGAACATCACTACGCCACGTTATTTGTATTTCAAATATTCATTCACTCAGCTGTGCGACGATTGGAAGAATGAAATGCATGATGCATCTCTAAGGCGCTGATCAAAGTTGAACGTCGTATGTGTAGCCAAAACGAAGCCGCGCCGTTCAGCGTGGCTCTCCGAAAATAAGCGCAACTTTTCATTGACTGCCGACCTTCTTTTCTGACAGGAAAAAAAATTTCTCATTAACTAGAGTCCTGGAGGAGTTGTGACCACGAGAGAACTGTAGGACAGAGCTTTGCTCTGTCGTTCTATGTGTATGAATGATATGTTTCTACTCGCTGTGTGTTCCTATGTTCCATTATGCATTTACATTGCTGTTAGCACTTCATAGTATTTTATGTCCTATATTGGATCTAATTCAGTGTTTTTTATATCGACGTATTCTATACAATAACTATGGTGTTTTAAAGTGGAAAGTAGTCATTTTTTCAACCTTTATTCATTGTATATTCTTTTTTTTCTCATGGCAGAGTATTATATGAAGTACAAGCATAAAGATGTTAAGTTATCAACAAAACTCGGCACCTCAGCGAACCATCAAACAACCACACTGTCGAGGACCCACATGTTACCACCCACTGCTCCAACCGAGTCCCTTGTTCTACCTTCCTATCAGCTAATTTGTTGCTCTAACGCTGCTGTTAGCAATAACCCGTCTACGGGAATGATTTAGAGTGCACAAATTGGCATTGAACCCAGTTAAGCTGAAGTTGCAGTAGCATATTCAAAGCGCACCTAAGGTACCTAGTTTTGCTCATCTTCCCCGCATCCTTGTGGCTGTATAAGAGTCAGTTGTTTACTCAAATTACCGGCCAATGAACTTTTTCGAAAAAGCTTTTTATATATCATTCAGCACACAGATGGCTTTTCTGGTCTCGCTCATACTGTTTTGATTTGATTTCGATTAGCTATCGAATGAATGTGCATATGGTAAAAACCTCCTAAAACGCACTAAACTGAAATTTAATACTGTAGTGCCCATACCGGACGGTATGAATCAATACTGTGGTTCCGTTCTCCATTGCTACTATCGTCGCTTAGTTTATTAAATGTCTGCGATATTTCACATGTACATGGTGTTTCTTTCAGTTTACAATAATTTATTATTTACAATAGACTTTAGAGTAAATGTAGATATTTGCCGGAAATCGCAACCTAGAGCACAATTTATAGACCAGTGTTTGTTGGATACCCGTAATTCACACTATGTTTGACTAGCGCCTAATAGTAGATGAATAATCGTCTTCGCTATACTACGGTATCACGTAAACCTTCGCGCCGAACTTAGCAATGAAATTAATAAAGAAGTAGTTTGGACGAGTTCTCGGGATGAGGATGAAATGTGTGGTAGTACATCGCCAGTCTCTTCTGCGGAATCGGAAGATACTAGTGAGATGATTGACAGCGATCCTGATCCTTCGCTCTGAAACTGTTCATATCTTTACATATGGACAACAAAACGATTTAAAAATGAAAAAAAAAGTTAACGAACTTTCGGAAAATCTTCCTGAAACTTTTCATCTGCAGCATTTTTCAACGTTCTGTCTTTCTAGAAGAAAAAAAGCGGTCTTATAAATTTTATATCCGTTGCAATGTACTTGAACGAATGTTACATTGAAACGTAATCCTCATGCAGGCGGAATCCACCGTAGGGTTACCTGCGTCAAACCAATAGACATTTATACTATTAGAAACATGGATATTCCTGCCAATCAAGAACGAAGTAGTCGGCTAGCGTGTGGAACAGCGCATTTTATTGAAAAGAATATTTAGCTAGTTATGGAAAATGTAGAAAGCATAATATTTCCTTGCAAATTGGAATCTCTTCTCGTTACAAAACTCTACTTCTCACGACAATATTGCAATCGTATAACCTACAAATGAGCACCTAAAAAAAATATAAAGGATATAATACAAAGTTCTTGGCGTTGGTCTATCCCTGAGGGAAGCGCCATGCATTCGACTTCATCAAGCATCGTTGGAGGTGGTTGAATGCAAACCTGGGCTTTACAATGACTCGCGGTGGCCCACTGATGTATCGGGTCAGTGCTGCTATCCTTCCAGACAAGTGCAGTACCAATTTGCCGACCCCATGGGGATGGAGGGCTTTGTGGGCCTGGAGCGCGGGGATCGATCCCATGTGTATTGCAGGAGGCCTCGGACTACTACGCTACACGCGTCTTTTGCCGAAAAAAGTATGCATTGGAATAAACGCATCGGCATTCATTGTAGAGAATACTAAAACATGTGTTGAGTTCAGCGAGTATTCACGCATTGGTTACAATGCATAATAATTTATTGACTCCAGGCTACCATTCATTCTAAGACATACAGATATAAAATCATGATGTCTGTCTTATCTCATAGAAGAATCTTACATAATCCTCATCGTCCGAGTTCCCACTTCCGTCCACCTGGTAATTTGTGTAGTTCTGGCCGTGCAAAGCATTCTGTAGACGGAATGAGAGCATACCAAAACGGAGACGTTCGTCGACGAACAAATCTGCTGAGGTACTACGTTAAGCACAGATATATTTTTTGATGAAAAGTAAATGATGACATATATGAAATCGAAAAAAGGCTTTCAGAAAATTGAGTCCTGAAAAAAAAGTGCCAATAGTTGACAAAATCTGACACAAATTGCACTTCAAGAGGAAAGAGGAATTTATGAAAGCAGAAGCGATGAATGGTTGAGCGCTCTTCTCTCTGAGTATCGATTGGTAGCCTGATTACAATTCAGTAAACGTTAGTCGTACTAAATTCAACGCTTTTAAGCATTATATTTTATAGTTTTAGGCACCATTTTCAATAACCCCACAGGTTAGAATGATTTCTCTTCTCAACAGAAATAACGCTCTTGAGCACTAGTTGTTCGTTAAGCGATCTTTTAGAGCGATAGTCATCTGATTTACTCACTTTTATAAGGTAAAAATCCTGATGACTTGTACTCCGGATTCGCATTTTGACTTTGCAATCCATCAGCGACCACATGTTTCCCATAAGAGGTAGTCTCGTTGCCGTTCCAACATCTGTCGTCATCTGTAGCTATCAATCCAGAATCGAAGCAGAACGCTCTTGGCAACGAAGAAAACCAACCACGTAGAGAACTGATCTGAAATTCTTTCTTCTGGCTAGATTATGTACTTTTTTCTTGTTATATGCAATTGGAAATCTTAATAGAGAACTATTTCTCCTCGTCTAGCACCCTTAACACATTGTGAGTAGCTAACCCGCTGGGTGAACATTTGCATCAGCGAATTCAACACTTTTCCATAGTTTGCTGCTCGCTCAGTAATAGTTTTGATTAGGACTGCACGGCGATGTCGAACAGGGAGCAGTCGAAGAGGTGAAGGAATCATTTCGCCAATAGTGTAACAGCGAGCAATCACCTGAAAGTTTAATCTTATAATGGTGTCTATTTAATTTACTACAACTATCCAACAGAAAGTGCTTTTTTGTAGAAGAGAGGAGCGTTTTACAATTATTTGTAGAATTATACTCGTCGGTGAAATTCTTCTAATGTTGGAGTAGTTAACGAAATCTCATCGACGTTCGCTTCGTTACAAGAGCTGTGATCAGAAAATCTGGCTATATCATTGAAAAACAAGTTCCTTACTGCGGCAATCGACCTTGGATTTCTTTTATTTCTATCTTACATGAACCGTCTTCACGCCTACTGTGTGGACCCCAGCACTTCTCACATTCAATTCGTTTCCTCGCATCCATCATCCGCGAAGGTCTTCGAAGTTTCCACATGTGGCTTCAGCTGCTCATTGAGGATTTTTACTTCATCTTGAATATCGTAGAATGCTGGTCGAGTCGATTCTCCCTGTAGTCCTGAGATAGCCGGACTGGGGCGTTCCTAATTGGATTGCAGAGAGTGGTTTTTTCCCGTACAAGGCCGGCACCAATTTCCTGACCCCCGTGGGATGGAAAGCGTGGTTGACCGGGGCGGAATCGAGCTAGCACCGTGCTCGTGATAACCGCCATCACTACCACTGTACTATCCGCCCCTGGATGGATCGAGGAATTTGTGTGGTGTTGAGATGAGTGCAAACAGTTTTCGTCGGCTTGAAAGTTGTAAACCCAGATGCTGTTCTAAATGGGCGGAATTTCTAGACTTTTTGAACCAATAAAACGCCGATTCCCTTTATTTATTAGTGAAATAGACCAGATAGGAGTGCATTCATGTAATAAATCTCTGAGCGGCTTTGTCTTTTGTTTAGTGTAACATGTCGACCTATCCACAGTATTATTTGGTCGTGGCTAATTGCTAACCAAGACGAATGGTATATTCACTACAGGTCAACGATGCACCATCATCAGCAGCACATCAAATCCTACAATAATTATGATTGATCGATCGAATACATTCAAAAAGAGAAAGAGAAAGAGAAGAAAGAAACTAGCGAAACAAGTAGGGAAGAAATAATAAAAGTTCCAAATCAAGTATAAAAATCCAGGAACTATTTGCAACTCGCTATGGTGAGATGCGCTTCAGTGGAGCACTCACTCTTTACAGTGATTCACTTGTCTGAGAATGACAGGTCGTCTTTTCGATAGCTTGTAAGCTTCCTCTCCGAAAATCCCAGAAAATGAATGTATGAGGCCATGAGACGAGCATAGAGTGACTTCTCATCATTTTGCTTGATTGATATGCAAAATTGTTTGTTGTGGACCTTGACCTTTTGGTTTTACGACTTCTTATGGCCCTACACCACACCCAACAACCGACAACATTGCACATTGCCTGTCAGTTTGAACAATGGTCCGCTTGATATCCATCATAGCGGACCATGAATCCCATGAAAAACGGCTAAATCTTTTAACAGTGAGGAGCGTTCCCAAAAAAAGCAGTACCAAACTCATTACTATCAAGTAGCCTTGATGTCACCGACAAATTTTTTGTATTGCCAAAATATCAGACATTTGAACGATAAAGTTCTCGGCGTTAATCAATCTTTGAGGGACGCGCCATACATTCGACTTCAACAAGCATCGCTAGAGGTGATTCGAATGGATGTTGGCCTATAAAATGACTTGCGGTGGCCTACGAATGTATTGACTCAGTGCTACTATGTTCTCAGACAAGTCCTGTATTAATTTGCCGACTCCAGAGGGACGGAACGCTTGATGAGTTTGGGACGCGGGATCGACTCCATGTATTTTGCAGGGCGCCTCTAACCAATATGCTACAAGCGTCTTCATTTGAAGGATGCCGCCCAAAATTTGAATATAGACAATATGAAAGTAATAACTGTTGAGATATCGAAGGGTGGGAAACTACTCTGAAGAGCGAAAATAGAAAAGAATAAAGAAAAGAAGAGGAACGAAACGCCATGATGAATGAGGAGATCGCTAAACCTGAGAAGTCCACTGGTACATACACTCACATGTATTTGAATGATCTCATATACTCCAGAAAGAAATTTGTAGAACGAATGCGTTACAGAGAGATTTATCTTCTGATATACATATTTTTCAATGTACTACAAACTCTTTGAGACCAGAAGTCGAATAAAGGACTATTAAAAGACACTGTTACCTAGTAAAGAATGTTCTAATAATTGAGGATTAAGACAACAGGTTTTTCACCAAGAAGGTTTTTAATATTGGATTTATTACCTTATTTGAGACTGTAATGCCTCGTTCCTGCATTTCCATGACGGCTTCACTGAACTGAACGGGTAGCGGTTGAAGTGCGTGATGAAGATTTTGAGCACCGCGAAGTTTGAATGAGATTTTCAACATCGAATCTGAAGCTTAACCACTTTTGTTTTTGCTTCTTCTTAACGTATGCTATTTTTGAACATTTTAACATCTTCAGCAAAAAATTCACCTTGAATTGCTCTCCTTCTAGTCGTTTCTTCCAATTCTGTTTTCTCGTTTATTTTGTGCTATAGAATACCAGCAAGAACGGGAATGCTTATCATACTCTATTCCCTATGCTACGGATTCTGGGAAAACACTATGTCAGCATGTCTTCACCGACAGACTGACTAACCCATGGGCGAAATCCATCACCACAAGATGCAATTCAGGTCTCCTGCAGAGAATTAATCTCCTAGAGCAGCCAGTTCTGACGTGGTCTTACGGATGGTGGACGATGTTTGTAGAACTTCTTAGGTGACAACAAGAAGGACAATAGGCAGGAATTTTTCAAATATACAATGCTTATAGTGTAGCTTTTAGCCAGTCTTCTTCAATCTGTAAAAGCGTGTCAAATTTTTGACGGCAGGTTTTCGTCAACTGAATAAGGTGAAAAATAGAAACAGGTTGAATTCGTCCAGTTTCGTTGCTTATGAACAAAGCATGACCCAGTTCCGACTAAAAGCCATCGAATTTCGTTCTTCAAAGAGTAGCGGCGTGCGAAATTAGCGGCGGATAGGAGACGAAGTGGACCGTTCGAAAAGATCAAAGCTGTGCCGACAACTACTACAAGTGCAGAACGACAGCAGTGCCCGGCATTTTGCACAGGAATTATGATGTAACCTTCAATATTTGGATGGCATTCTGCTATGGAAGTTAAAGCTTAATCGCACTGTACTATTCTAGCATTTTGCATAAGGAAATTTCACTTTGTCGAGATTACTAGCTTGTCGTGAACATATAAATGAGTGTTACCGAAAATCAAATAAACTGCACGAGCTGAGAAGATATCCAGTCATATTTTTTCCCATTAAACTTCTAAGCTTACCGACGACAGCGTTCCATTGTTGGTCGATTTCGGCCCAGTCGGCAAGACATCCTTTCATCACGTTCATACAAAGACTTGGGCAGGGTCTCGACTCCTGGACACCACTGCACAACGAACAATCCCACATACGCGCCAAATTTTGTCTGCACTCATTCGACACCGAAGCCTGAATGTTTTTTTTTGTCCGCTGCTTTATGTTTTCTAAGCTGTTTAATTCTAGTCCATTTTCGGTTATTATGCAGTGTAATTGCAAATCTTCATTAAGAATTACTGATGTGCTTTCCACCAGTGTCCCATTTATGACAAATGGCACTCTTCATGTTTTGTGCCAATTCTGTCCTCACGTGACTTTTTTGTGCACAGTCTACATTTTGGAGTAAACAAGACAATAATTTGTGTTACTGCGACATTTTGGATAATATTTTGTTACAAAGTGCTCAGATGGAGGAAGCGTTGAGCACAAGTGCCTGGGCTCCTCTCACGGCGACGATATCATGGATCACATCTGTTTGCGTCGGCATTTGGTGCCAACAGCAAAGTGAAATAAATAATCGTGTTGCGTAATCGATAAGTAGGCAGTGGTGGATCGATAATCCCGCTTAGGTTGATCGATCGACGCTATATGGTCCAACAATTGCCTGCCTGCAATCAGACTTCGGCTTCATCTGACTGCAATGACGGTAATGATGAAAGTAATCTGCCCAGGTTTCTGTAATTAAGCGTCCACTGCCGACAGCAGGTGCATTATCTGGAAGAAATTGAGTTTCATAAGGAGAACCCTAGCTTTTTTTGGTTTTTGCAACGACTAAAGGCAATTTCTCAACATCATTCCCTGCAATAGTGAAAGAGGATTTTCACAGAAAGAGTTTCTACGAATGACAGACACTACTACCTGCCTTGAATAGCACTCACAGCCGCGAGTACCTAGTATTCCTCATCCATTTGCTTTTCATATTTTACACCACTTTTACACGCTTTCAATATTTTCGGTTTTCGTTATAGTAGTTTGTGAAGCGTAGAACTCGTAAGCAAGAGGGAATCAGTTAATCATATTTATTCATTATTGCACAAATAGCTCCTACCATTTCAAAATATCCTATAAAATTACTTAGAAGATGAACTAAGTTCAGCAATGAATTCAATGTTAGCAGAAGTTGTTCTTTAGCGCTGAACAGGATAGGACGATGTCTTCAATCGAAATCAAACTTTACCTTAATAACTTAACTTGTAGGTTAATAATCCAAGAAGGTATCAGGATGAAACTGTCCCGATTTCAGTCTAACTGCTCTACACGGCTCAACGACCTTGTGGTTCCCCGCAGGTATGATGGGTTTGCGAGTCGTGTAATTATAGGCGCGCCGCTTGGGGTCTTTGAGGTGTTCAGATGAAACACATCAGAACGAGGTTTTCGGCATGACTAACATGATGACGTACATCGGTCAGCGATATTTTCGTTGGTGTTTTGCTTGAAGGTCATTTCTGCTTGCGACATCTCCACTGGTACAACTATTAATGGAAAAATGTGGACGAAAAGAATCCTCGAGTCATCTCATTGCAGGCTGGTTGGTTCTACACCGTTACCGTAACAAAGCACATAAACCAGTCCGTGAAATAAAAAGAATGTGCAAATGAGAAGAAAGGAAATCATCTTTACAGCAATAAACAGCTAGAAATAGATGTTGAACCTCAATCTTGCAAAACCTGTGTTATGTACGGCAGTCCAATCCTAAAACAAAACTAGCCGATGAACCACTGTTTTCTTGATTTCAGTAAATATTCTCGAATTTGAGGACAGCGTGTCCGACAAGGTCATCAGTTTCAACCAGTTCGGTTTTTTACGGTTTCAAAAGACATCTAAAACTAAAAAATTCAAATTGAAGTTGGAAAAACTTGACGAAGAAACCAACATTCATGAAACCCTCCAAGGTGTTGTGCACGTTAACGAGTGCGGTAACGAAGTGTTTCCAAAAATTAAGTGATTTCTCCAAATTCGTAATGATCTGAAACTAATGACAGTAACCAAATTTCTTTGAAGATGTTCTAATTTCTGTGATACTGTATCCTTAGGTGCTGTCGGTAATTACCTTTTTTGGTACGTCTCCAAATGGTGCGATTTCGTCCATACTTTCAATCATACAACGACGTTGGTCGACTTTCACAATGTGCTTAACGAAAAAAAGTGCAAACCGCTAAGTGGAAATGTGAGCAAAAAACAGGCGAAACGGATGAACGAAGTACAACTTTGAAGAAATCATCGTTTGAAGCTGAAGAAGAAACTCACCTCGTAAAAGTAACGTTAGTAGGCCGAGAACGAAGTTCATACAGTTAGTAATACTAAGAAAAAAAGTTCACAAAGAAAAGAATAAGTGATATTTCAAAAACGACTTTTGTTTAACCTCGGTGTTACTAATCAACATGTATTCTGTCTCTGATAAGCTTTTTATCAACCATTGCCACCTTGCATAGAAGAGCATCACCGAGTGAGAATGTCTCATTTGAGAGATGAGGAAAATTTGACGAAGGCGAAGAGGCGACATCGAGAAGATGAACGACTGTGGACCATCGACTGGGATCATCAACTCTGATGAACATGAAACCGTCGAAACGTGAGCCGAATAAAAATTGTTTATCAACCTTTTGTAAGTTTATCAAAGAAAGAATACATGAAGAAATGATAATTATAGATGGAAATCACTTTTGCCCCGGTCAATGAAGTGTTTCACAATTAAAGTCATTAATAGAAAAAAGTAGAAAGACTACGGAACTAAAGAATTGAACGAGGTGAAGAAAGTGAAGTTGGAAAAGAAAATTGAAAAAATAGAAAAAGGCGTTGAAGGGATCGAGCTTGAGATTCTAAAAAATGCGATAAAATAGTAAATAAAGATGTAAGATGCTCACCATAGGATTCATCAGTTGGAACATTATGACGAACAGATCCTCAAGCAACTTCCGAACAACCTGTGTCACTTTGGTGTCCGAAAACGGTGATGAGAAAGCTCGTAGTCGATTGAAGAACGTCTCGAACGCCTATGAACAAAACTGGTAGTTATGTTGGGCAAGACTTTTCCTATTCTCATTCCTTCTTGTTTTTGTCCACTTAGTATCCTTGCTATTCTGTTTCTTTAGGAAACAATGTGTAACATTTATAAATTCGATTATACACAGGAGTTTTAGATCTCATTAATGAGTCGTAAGTGCTGTTATTCTACTTTATCGATGGAAATTGCCTTAAGATATCTAAACTAAGTGCAATCGGCACCTGAGAATTAGTCTGGTAGAAAGAACCATAAGTACGATCGAACAGTGCGTCCAAGTGCTCATGGCAAGTATTCAACGAATTGTAGTAGTACGCTAAAGGATCAATCAATATCTATTGATAACACGTACATTCTGAGAATTCGTCCACGGCTACGATTCATCCGAGGAAAATTGATTTCATTTAGGCCTGTTATATCTCTATAGAAACGCTACTGGCTAGACGATAAAAGTTACTGTAGTATAGGTTTTAAACTGTTTTCTTTCGTTTCTTGTCATGTGCAGCCTTCAAAGCGTAATAAATAAACATTACAACTAATTAGTTAGGATTGAACGTACTTCTAAAACTATTGAGATCTGAATTAATCATATGACGCAGAACAATCAGTTTGTCCTCTAACTGGGCTTTAAAGATCTTCTCCGCACTTTGTAGAATCTCATCCTCAATACTTTTCGTACAACATGCATTTTTCCCAGTGCAGATTTTCAGATCAGAAGCTGAAAATTTCGTAACTATTTGGAAAAATCGGCATTAAAGTAGCGGAAAAAGTTAAAAGGAAAGCCAAAATCTCTTCAAAATAAGCGTTTAAAAACAATTTTTTATTTTATTTTAAATGGCCCGTCTTCACGTCTACTGTGCGAATCCCAGCACTTCTCACATTCGATCCATTTCCTCGCATCTCGCGAAGATCTTCCAACTTTCACTTGTCACTTCAGTTTCTGCTTGAGAAATTTCATTTCATCTTGCATGTTGTAGAATGCGGGTCAAGCAATTCTCCCTGAAGCCCTGAGATAGCCGGGCCTGCGCGTTCTCAATTGCACTGCAGAGAGTAATTTTTCGCAGGCGAACCCGATACCAATTTTTTGACCACGGAGGGGTTTTAAACAATAAATGGAGTGAGTAATTTGTGAAGGATTATAATCGGTAATTGATATAATCGATTTTTTTGACACTTGACATTGAACGGCCCGTCCTCACTGGTTGTGCGGGCCCCAGCATAATCACCATTTATCGGAGATTTGCTGGTTAAGCCATTGTGGTTCCCTGGAATCCCCAGGATAGCTTGACTCCAGGTTATCACTACGACAGGCAGTCGCAGCCCTGGTGGATCAGAGGGAGATTTGCCACTATACGACTTTGATACCAGGACAGTGGTGCATCCTGGTCTTGGTTTACTCTTAGCTAAGCTTCCTGATGGAAACGCTGGACTCCTTCTCAGCTTGGGAGACCGTGCCGGAGAGGCGAATCCCCCGCTGTACATCGCAGTCCGACACCGAGGAGCACGTTCCAGCCGGTAAACCGTTGGGAAGAGCGATTTTTTAGTGAAGAAATATCCAAATCTGATACCAAGACAGACTTGACTTGATCCCCAGCAAAGGAAATCTGTCTTAAGATTTTTTATGGATATAATATCTCAGTGTTCATCTTTTAAAAGTAGTTCCTTCCGATAATGTCAGTGGTGAGAAATGCATTGGGAGTAAATTGATGTTTAAGATGGCATCCCTTTGAATAATTAAAAGTGTCGAAAAATACCAGAAAAATACTTTGGACTTTTAGATAGCGCGGCACTATTATAATCTTATAAAAAAGCTAAAACAAATGGTTTAACCATGCAAAAGTGGAACAACGATTTACTGTTTCACTTAATAGTCAGGTAGTATTAGCTGAACGTGAGATTTCGTTGTTCAAATGACTTCAGATACCGTTCTCGACCTTCGAGACCTCTTTTCTCGAGTGACCTCCTCGGTTCAGAATCGGTCGACCGTCGCTGATGGGTTTTTATGACGCACGTGGGAGATGCTGCGCTTCACAGTATCTCTCCTCATTACCCTCTCGTTCCTTTCCTTCCCATGTTGGTTCGTGCTCATTGTTGTGAAAACTTTTTTTGTGCTGCTGATTGCTGACTAAGGCTACTGATTAACTTTTGTTAATTACCAAGACCGACTTTCTGTTAACCTCGGCATTGATTGATAAATGATTGAGAATTGTTGTTAATTAATTAGTAATCGGTATAATTAATATCACATGGGGCGGATAGCACAGTGGTAGTGAGGTTGGCCGGCCATGAGCATAGTGCTGGTACATTTCCGCGTCAACCCTCATGGGTCTGGAAATTGGTACCAGACTTGTTCGGGAAAAAATAACTCAATGTAATTCAATTAGGAACGTCCCAGCTCGGCTGTTTGAGAATTCCAGGGAGAATCGACTCAACCAGCATTCTACGACAAACAGGATTCCAATGAACGACAATGAAAATCCTTAAACAGTGCCCGAAGCCACAGGTAAAAGTTGGAAGACACTCGTGGACAATGGATGGAAGGAAACGCATCGCATATGAGTTCTGGGATCCGCACCGTAGACTTGAAAACGGATCATATAAAAATGAAAAAAAATTGCATCATATTAGCTGTGTTATCGGCTATGAGGAATGGGAGACGTTGAAACGATAGCCGATTACGGTTTATTTATCAATGAAAAAATACAGGTTGATTAGATATATCGAGTTTAAAGGAAAGTCAGTTTTTAAAATGTGGTATAATTGATATTGGTAATGGCATTGGTAGTGGTATAGTAGAATTAGTACTTGGTATTACTAGTACAGTATAATTATTAGTTAATTGATTAGTATATGGTCTATCGCAGAACCTAAGCGATCCGCAGGAGCTGGAGGTGAAACAGCCGAGGGAATGGGCGTCGAGTGGCTAGTGCTATTATTTTTTCACAAATTTCCAAAGAATATTGGCGTAAGAAGCTTACATGGAGGACGAAAAGGAAGCTTCTACAAGTTTTACTTCCTTTCTGTTTCTAATAGTGCGATCGTCATCGTTGTGATTTAATAGTTCGCTTCACTCAATTTGGGCATACAGTGAGAGTGCAGCTGTCTACCTTCAGAAAGATAGCTGTTTAACTGAGTAGCCGAAAATAAATTCAATCTACCAGAAGCATTGATGACTAGTGCTTTTCGTTTAGGTGTAGATAGATATTTTTAAGCATAAAAAACACTTGGTTTGGTCAGCAAACTGCTAAACTGGAGAATTAACTCGGAAAATGTAAAAATACTAAACTTTTCAATTTCTCCTACTCATTAGTTTTCAAAGCAAGAGTAACGACCTGCTAACAAAGTGACAATTTTCATACTGAGTCTAATATTTGATGAAAAGTCCCCACCGGCTCCTCTTTTCAGTAATGTTGAGTAATCATAATGAGACTTCTTTAACATCTCACATGACGTCGACAATACAGAGATCACACGAAAAACAGCAGTGATGAGAAGTAGAGGTCTCATTCCAAGCGTCGACGACGACCTCATGTACTCGCTACCTCCGGATGGCGCAAGCGGGGCGGGTCGTACTCCGTGGGCGTGGTTAGTTGACGACAGACTGTCGTGCCATCGGCCAAATCCTCGCAACGCAAACACCACAGATGAGAGGCTGATATCAGATAAAGGCGATGGATATCAATTACGTGTAACAGAAACACAGTAATTCTGATGGCTGTGACGTGTGTGAATACCAATGGTGCAGTGCTGGTCGCACCTGGAACGTGTGAATGGCGAAGGTTTTATTTAAAACTTAAATACGTTCTGACTATATTATTTGCACATTCTTAACCTTTTTATTTACTGCCTATTCTTTTTCATGGCAGGATATGTTGCGAAATATAACTTTTGTAATGCTGGGATATTTGCAAAGCTCCGGACCGCAGGTGTCCGCGGTGAGGAACGAACGCGCTATTTACCTTTCCGAATAGTGGCGCGCTCACCACCACACCATGCGGGTCTTTGGTTTCGTCTTCTCAGCTAGTTCTATCGATCACTTACCATCAGTGATCACCCGTCAACGGAATTGATCTGGGGAGTCTAATTGGCATTGAACCCACTTAAACTGAGGCAAGAGATCGATAGAACTAGCTGAGAGACACGCGAAACGAAGGACCCGCGCGGTGTGGTGGTGAACGCGCTACTCCCCGGAAAGGACAATAGCGCGTTCGTTCCCCACCGCACACACCTGCGGTTCGGAGTCTTGCAAATATCTCAGCATCATTGAAGCTATAGTTATAATCACAATCTTAACCTTTTTATTTACTGCCTATTCTTTTCAACAGCAGGGTATGCTGCGAAATATAACTTCTGTAATGTTGAGATATATGCAAAACTCCGGACCGCAGGTGCGTGCGGTGAGGAACGAACGCGCTATTGTGCTTTCCGAGGAATGACGCGTTCACCACCACACCATGAGGGTCCTTCGTTTCGCCTGTCTCTCAGCTAGTTCTACCGATCACTTGTCATCAGCAATCACCCGTCAACATATTATATTATTATAAATATATTATTTGCGTCCTCATAGAGAAGTACTGCCGATTTTGTTTTTGAAAACATCATGAGCACGTTCTAGCCATAACGGATAAGAAATAATGTTCTCTGGGTTGCTCGATTTTCAAGGAATGTGCTGTGCACTTGACTAAGCATTGCTATAGGTGTGGTCTTCGCTCATGTATTACTCTGTGCGGCTGCTATCCACCAACTAACTTAAATACAAAAAAATAAACGGCTCTGAAAAAGGTGAAACGGGCGAAACGTTAGCTATTTTATCCTAATAAATTATATAATAGCAACCTCATGTTTGCTTATTGAAGAAAAACATCAAATTGTTATAGGTGGTTTAATGCATATCTGGCTAATACAATGACTTACGGTAGCCTGCCTATGTATCGAGACAGTGCCGCTATCCTTTCGGAAAAGTCCGGTATCCACTTTCCGGTCCCGGATGGATGGAACATTTGGTGAGCCTGGAGCGCTGGATCGAGTCCAAGTGTATTACAGAGAATTTCTAGCCATTGTGCCATACGCGCTATATTCCTAGTGTGAATAATGTCTAGAAATTAGTGTTTGTCTGCACAATTTAAGTGGAAGGTTGACGAGGCCGCTCTACTGAGCTTTTAGGTCTATCGTCAAGCATTTGATGTTTAAACATTGCAAAAATCCAGAACGATGTAAAAAGTTTTTTGAAACCATAAAAGTAGCGATTTCACAGTAAAACTGTCGTGTTGAGCAATAGAAAACTTCCGGTGATTGTATGAGCATAATTTCAACGTTAGGCGACGATTCGGCGCCAGATTGATGAGACGGGTCAATTAAGGTAATGCGGAAACTGTACAGGTGAACCAAAATGTCATTTGAAATAACAGAAAGTTTTAAAATGAACTGAACAGTCGATTGGCACACTGTGAATGTGGACAGGCGAAAATATGATCCAACGAAATAAGTATGCATTGAATTAAGTTGATTTCTTAGTGATTCACCACAATTAACTTTGCAAAAAGTTTATGGTGTTGCGGAGAATTTCTTCACATTATTTAAGTGTAATCTATGGCAAATGTCGTTCTGTTAATCATCGAGTAGCTCGAGGGGGCAACTATAAACTTTGTTCTTCTCCATGGAGCACAAGAAATGCCTTAATTAACAGACATCAATAACATCACATTTTCGCTGCTGCTACTATACTTCCTATCTGTGATTTGATTTTCATATTATTCTATGACTATTTGTTAAAAAGGGACTCGTCTGGGGAAAGCTCTTCCCGATCCAAGACCTATCACAGCTGTTTCAGAATTCCAGAGAAAATCGACTTTACCACCACCCAATGACATTCAAGAAGACAAAGTTCTCAGGCTAGTGATTCAGTAATCGAAGTCACAATTAAATGCAACAACCTTCGTGGATGATGGACAGAGGAAAACGAAGGGAATGAGGTAAGAGCAGGAACACATAAAATATGCGGTGTTATGCCGTGTAGATTTTATTATAGTTTTTGTTAAGGAATTAGCAGTAGCCCGCTCTGTAATTGCACAGGTTAGCCTCCCTGTCCCGCTTCTGGACTAAGAATTTCGAGCTCCTCAGCTCTTGTAACCAAATTGGTGTGATGAGCGTCTTGCTAAACAGAGTAGCCCAACACACAGGAACACATCTAGCCACAAGGAAGCAAAACAGTTGAAATACTTGACCATAGTGATAAATTGTTTAGTTGGTCATGAATTTTAAGTTTGGGTTCAAAAAACATGGAGCTGGATAATCTTGAGGATACCGAAATCTTATAAATAATTCTGAAAACGATTACAAGGAAACTTACTTCCACTACTTATATAAAATTAGTTCTGTTGAAGAATGTAAAAACTACAAAATTCTACTTAAATCCCACTAGAAGAAGAAATTCTCCTTTCCTTCCTACACAGAAGAATGTAATACTCTTTTTAAAATAGGCATTGACTGTGGCTTGCTGAAGACACCCTGTTAATCTCACGATAATCTATCGCCTGAGTCCTTTAACGAAGTATTTTCATTCATTTGACACGAAGAAACTGAACAAAAAGAAAAAAAATGGAAGAAAACATTAGCGGGTTCCGCTCGATCACTACAGACCATGCATGTTCAACAAACAATTTTCTTATGATAACTGCGTCTAGAGACGTTTCTGTGCTCTCATTCAGCAACATCACTCTTATTTGCTTGGATGGCCTTGTCTTCGCTGGTTGTGCGAGCCCCAGTACTATCTCCAGTTTTCGGAGTTTTGCTGGTTAAGCCATTATGGTTCTCTGCAGTACTGAGGTCAACCTGGCCAATGTCAGCCCCAGGTCGTCACCACCATAGGCAGTCGCCACCCTTGTGTATCACAGGGAGGTTTGCCACCAATCGACTAGTTTGATATCAGAACGGTGGTGAATCCTGGTATTGGTTTACTTTTGGCTAGGATTCCTGATGGAAACGCCGGTCTCCTTCTCAGCTTGAAAGATCCTGAGAAAGTGAGACAGGCTTCATGTAAAATATTAAGCCTATCTCACACTTATTTTGTTGCCAGAAAGCAAAAAAGGCAAGACATAAATTGAAAAGGATAACGACGAAAATTCCCTGTGTTTTCTTAGGTGTTGATGGTTTAGTGGGTATCCCTCTTAAGTATCACCTGCAACACCTGTCTTTGCATTGTTTGTTGAGTGATTCGAGAGGGAGCTGGCAAAGCCCCCAACCGTTTGTCCAGTCCTCGTCGTGTGACGGATTAACGCAGTGGACTCTGAACATTCATAGGGACACAAGGAATATCATACCTCGTGCTTTGTTACACTATTAGGCCAGGGTGAGATTGTTATTTAAAAAATCATATCTTGTTTTGAGTGTAGTAAAAAAAATCCGGATTTTATAACTAGTCCTTTCAATTATAGCTTTCCTCCTGATGACCTTTATATGACTCATTATCACATCTTGAGCAACACAAAACCGTCCAATCAATTCGCTGTCACCTTTTGTGAGTTGACGAGCATGGGAACCGATCTTACTTTCCTTTCAAGATCTACTATAATGGGAATTTCACTTGAAGGCATGAAGGAGACAGAAACGTTCTTTTCGGGCATGTACAGAATGCTAAGGGAGGGAATGGAACATGGGAACGAAGTGAAAACTCGAGGCGATTCGGAAATTGGTCGCCGATGAGGTAGTTGCCACTCAATCCGTAGCTTGTGCTCGTTGCCTGAATACACAGAAGTGATGAGAAGATGACTATGAGATACTGAATGATAGAAATATGGTGAAACAAGTGCTAAGAAACTCTCAGAACCATTGAACAACCCAATATTTCGTTCTGGACATCACCGTTGTGTTCTACTTTTTTTGTTTGTAAAGATTGGCAAACAACCTATTGATGAAAAGTAAATGTATTTCTATACAATCTTCTCAATAGCTTTTTAGTTTAAGAACAAAATTTAATCGAAAGAGCAATTCGTCTCAAATGACATTACTTTTTGCTCCGTTGAGATTTAAGCAAAATGGTATTTATTGAATTGTCGGCAGTTCTGTAGGTGGTTTGTAGGTGATGCAGAGCCGAGATATGGGCCCTGTCCGCTATAGGAGAAAACTGGCCCTTCGTCGGGCAGGTGTTGATGATGAGCTACGCTCAGATTTGAGCAACTTGGTATTTCTTGTAGAGTCGACAGTTCTCTAGGGAGGTGGGAGTCGTAGGTAATTCAGAGTCGATAAGTGGTTCCTATCCGTTAGAGGAGAAGATGAGCCCTTCGTCTGATGTTGATGGTGTTCATGCGAATGACAACGTCGACGGCACGATGCGTCACACTGTGCTGGCCGTTTGTCGTCAAAGGTTATTACGACACGCCGATCAACGAACGCCTGACAGAAATGTCATTACCATCACCAGTATGTACGAAACGAATTCTATTCTGATTCATTTTCATATCAGTGCCGACTTTTCCCGCCAGTGTCACAAAAGAAACTAACCTCTTTCC